TCTACCCAGTTTCCACTTACTTGTCTATCAGAAAGTATTATAAATCCCTTTTATTATAGCCAGGTTTCCGTTGGTATTCAGGATTATATCCCCTCTTACTTTTTCAAGGACTTGAGTCTGGCAGTCACCACCTCCATGGTACCTTATCACTTCTCCATCACCACTGAATTATTTCCATAAGCAAATAAATATGCTTTAGTAAGGTTCACCTAATACTCCCGTCCAGCTTCTGTTTCTCTGCTCCGAGTCAAAATTTCTTAGGAAAATGTCCTATATAGCCTCAGCTTTATAGGCTCCCATTGTCTTTAACACACTTCAATAGCACTTTTGTCTCCACCACTTACTGAAATAGCATTCATCAGGGTAACCAAAGGACATCATCTTGCCAAATACAATGGTCAATGTTCTATCTTCATTTTACTCATTCTCTCAGTAGCATGTGACAGTTTATCACTTCTCTTTCTTAAACACTCTCCTCTAGGCTTCCCTGACATACCCATCTCCTGAACCACTGTTTCAGGTACTTAGCTATACTCTCTCCCCAGGTGATCTTATTCAGTCTGAAGCTTAAATATGACATTAGCCCTGACTTCTCCCCAGAACTCAAGATTCGTGTATCTAATTGTCTACATCATATCCAAAACTCAACCTCTCAAAACTGCTCCCTTCACTCCAGCATTCCTCATCTCATTAAAAAGCACTACTAGCATCTGTACAATAGCTGAAAGCAACCACAGGGAAGGTATTTCTAATTCCTTTTTCCTTCATTTATACCATATCCATCCATCACCAAGTAATGTTTAATCTCTTTCCAAAACAGATCCTAAATTTGTCCACTGTCTGCATTTTCATTATTACCATAGTTAGATTAATTAAACAAGGAGGCCATTAGTCTGAGGTGGCTCTAATGCCATGGTGGTGAGCCTATACAGCCTGTATAAGCAACCCAAAACCTAAGCCCATAAATATCTCAAGGTTACAAATTGAAACCTAAGGACCACCAATCACAGCCACTGAGGCTTTAAATTACAGCCCATCTCTAATTTCCTTGCTTTGCTTTTGCCTTTTTTCTATAAAAGTCTTTCCTCAGCATCTGTTGGTGGAGTGCTTCTAGCCCCTTTCAGTGTGGCACAGTCCGATTCCAATCAATGTTTGCTCAAATAAACTCTGAAAATTTGTAGTATACTTCAGTACATTTTTAACACCATCTTAGTCTAGGAAACCATCTCCTCTTGGACTGCTATGCAAGTTGGTTACTTGGTTGCTATTCTTGGAAGACTCTTCCTCCCCTTTCAAAATCCATTCCTACATTCTCCCCAGTTTAACACCTCAATCGCTTGTTTCTCTTCCTAACTCCTTTCTGAAGGGTAGCAAAATACTTCACCTCAAAACTATACCTCTTTGGCATAAGGATAATTTTTAAGAAACTGCAGACACTGGAGAAGCTCTGAAAACAGGTGAAGAAGTTACTTTTTTATAAGGAAAATTTACATTACATAGGGGGCCTGGACGAGGGAGAGCACTATTACCAGAGAGAACTTTTTCAACCCATGGACTTACCTGCATGGCAGGGCAATCTTGTTTACCAAATAGCTCCACCTTTAACCTTGCCTTGAATTGCCTTCCCCCCTTAGAAGCCCCAGGTTCCTATCCCTTTTCTTTGGGCTCAGCATGGTACATGAGCCTTAACTACCTGGCAGCCTTTGAAATCTCATATATTTGTGGGGCCCCCATATGTATGTAATCAAAATTATTTTTTTCTCTTGCATTAATCAGTCTTATGTCAATTTAATTCTTAGACCAGTCACAGAACCTAGAAGGGTAGAAGGGAAAAAATTCTTCCTCCCCTCCATTACCATGCTTACAGGGCCCTTTAAAAGGCATGCCATCTCTTGATCATTGTTTCACCTTGCTTGTCTACCATATTACTTAAACACAGTGGTCTTCTTTCTGCTCCTTGAGCGCACCAGTTTTATTTCTAGATGAGGACATTTGCAGGAGGGGACTAGTTCTCTGCCAAGTGTTTCTGAGAGGCCTTCCATGATCATCCTTTGAGCACGGTCTCCCATCCCAGTCATTCTTTGTCCCAAGAACCTACTTTATTTTCTTCACATCACTTATTGTCTGAAATTATTTTATTTCCTTTTTGATTATTTGTCTCCCTACAATAAAATGTTCTTATTCACTGTTATATCCCAAACATCAAACCAATCCAAACAAAAACTCCAACTTCATAGGCATTCAATAAATATTTTCTTAAAAGAATGTTAATGAAAAAAGGGGATAATTTCAATAATATAAAAATATGCCTGTAATTTAGGGAAGAAAAAACTTAGACATCTGGTGAAAATTTGTTATCCTGGGTGTAAGAGATGAGAAACCACAGAAATATACTGTTTTTAAGATTAAAAACATTTGAGGATGGTGCCACGACCACTCAATGGGGAAAGAATAGTTTTTTCAACAATGGTGCTTAGACAACTAGATAGCCATACACAATGGAATGAAATTAGACCTCTACCTCACATTATATAAAAAAAAATTAACTCGAAATAATCACAGACTTAAATGTGAGTGTTAAAAATGTAAAACTCTCAGACAATAGAGAGGTAAATCTTTGGGACCTAGGATGAGGCAGTGGTTTTTTACCTATGACAGTAAAAGCACAAGTGACAAAAGAAAAACTAGGTAAACTGAACTTGACAAAAATTAAAAACTTCTTGTTTTAAAGGACACCATCAAAAAGGAATAAGACAACCTATAAAATGAGATAAGGTATTTGTAAATCACCTATCTGATGAGACTTATATCCAGAATATATAAAGAACTCTAAAAACTTAATATTAAAAGGACATTTTTAAAAACTTAAAAATTGTATTTAGAATAATACAAATAAAGATACAAAAAGTAAATATAAAATTTTAATTTTAATGAAAAATATACAATGGAATTTTATTTGGCAATAAAAAGTAGCACTGACATATGATACAAATGTAGGAACTGTGAAAACATTATTCTAAGTGAAAGCCAGATACAAATGACCATGTGTTAATATGATTCCATTTATATAAAATATCCAGAATAGACAAATCTATAGAGACAGAAAGTATATCATTAGTTGCCAGGAGTTTGGGGATTTGTGGGTGTATGTGTGTGCAATGCATGGGAAGGAGAATGATTGCTATGAGACACGGAGCTTCTTTTCAGAGGGAAGGAAAACGTTCTAAAATCAGAAAGTAGTGATGATTGCACAACTGTGACTATAGAAAAAAACCGTGAGTTGTAAACTTTAAGTGCGAATACTATGCATTGCGGATTATATTCCAATAAAACTGTTAATACCTACCTAAACTGAAAATAAAATAGGTTCCCGGGACAAAGGATGACTGTGATAGGAGACCACTCTAAAAAAGAATAACTAAAGACATTAGTAAGGTCAATTTTTTCAAATCTTGGTTAATTTCCAAATATGTTATATTTTCAATGAGCATTTATTCTACTTTTGTTAAGTACTATGGTACAAAGATGAATAATATGATCTTCTACCCTCTGGGAGTTTCCAGATTAGTAGAGGCCATCCTCCATAAAGCTTGCCAAGTATGTGCAGAACAATTTACTTTCCAGACATTCAGACAGCATTACAAGAGTATACAGTATATTTATTAAAGAGAAACAGCTCTGAATTGCTAGCCAGAAAAAGCTATTTTCTTGACTCATTTTATATACTGTGTCTACTTTAGAAGAGTTAGCAATCTTGGAACTAGAATCATTACACTAGTCATTGCTATCAGGAACAAATTTCCTGAACATCTATAGTCCAAATCAGAACATAGCTCGTTCTCTTTATTTTTTACCTCATCTTCCTTATCCTTGTCTTTTTTCCATATCTGGTTGATTTGTGAAATTTAGGTACAGAAGTGATGGGTCCTGACTGATAATGGACAGGCTCAGTGATGGGGTAAGTCCAGTGTTTTCTGACATGTTTCCTCCGTAAGATGCTCCAAGCAGAAAGACACAACAATCTACTTACTTCTGTATTCAAGTACCTGCCACATGGTAGTAGGTGTCTACTGAATAAAAAAAGTATTTCCACTGCAATGACATTACAGAAAGCGGTCTTTGAACATATTAACACCATTATAATTCTTTCCCTTCTGGATGTCTCACCCTTTTACTTTGTGACATATATAATTATATTTGATAAATGAATGGATGTCTAATTATTCAGACGAATTTCAGGAGTAGACAGAAGAAGAGGGAAGAACAAACACATGGTGCCATTCCAACTCTTAAATTTTATTTTCTTGATAACTGAGTTAAAGGTACATAAAATAACCTTGCTTATACAAGGAATAAAGCTTTGTTGAAAGGATTTCAGTTATAATTTATCTGAAAATGTTTAATAATCAAGAGCCTTTTTGTATAGTACTATTTTCAGACTAATTTTGGAGTCTTTGACAAAACACTTAACCTCAATAAGCCTCAGCTTCCTCCTTTCTAAAACTGGCATGACAATATCTAATTTGTCTATGTATATGATTGTATATGGCTAAATGGGAAAAGAAGTTTGAAACACCAGTATATATGATCAGGGAGCATTATCAGCATAGTATCATTGCTATTTATGTGCAGCTTAACATGTATTTCAAAGCTTATACAATTTACCATACACCCACTGGAACTATACTGGTGTTTCTTAATTATTAAGTATCATATAATATTTTTCTCAGAGAATGAAATGACCTTGCTGGTCCTTTACTGAAAATTATCTTAATCATTTAATTTTCTTAAGTTTTGAAAATTATGAAGCTACTTACTAAAATCTCAGGTTACAGTATACAATTCTGTAATTAATTCAAGCTCAAATAAGGAAAATATATATGAGAATAACTTTAGTGAAAATTCTATTAAAAATCATGAATGGTACATTCCAATTTTTTGGTATATCACAATGAAAACTATAGTTTTAAAGTTGTATTTCTGGGAATAAAACTACTTACCTTTGCAGCACAGGCTCGTATCACCTCCTAAAAAAAATAAAATACAGTTAAGTAAAAAAAATTCCTAACTTCATTTTAACAAAACATCAACTTTCTTAACACATTCAGATGTTAATCTTTTAATAACTAGAACCAACATTTGAGAGAGTTTCTTTATCTACCACCCTGCAGCTGTCACTCTGCATTGTTTCCAAAGAGCTAGAAAGAGGGTAAATTATAAAAAGAGACTCAATGACATGTTCTTGGTAAATCTAACACCAAAACAAAGGAACTGACAAACATGTCTCTGGAGGGCCCACATGTATCTGCAGTCTCCCCATAAACCTAGCATAAATAGTAAATTTCTCAGTACTAAAGCATTAACATGTCTAAAAGATATATCTTGAATTAAGTGCAGTATATAATTATCCCTATTAAGTAGCAAGACCCAAAAGTATAATTTTCACATTAATAATTTATTTCAGACAAGACTCTAATAATAAACACTACTAAATGGTAAAGTATATGGCCAGTATTAAAAGAGGTACACAAAGGAACTGCTTACAACTCACAGGACAAGGCCAAGAAAAGATCACTTTCGAGAAAGAAACTAGTGCAAGTCAACATATAATGGATGATTTGAAAATTTGCTGCTAAGGAGGCACAAAAAAACTCAAGTCTACTTAAGGTTAACCAGCACGTATTATCAGCCTAGTATAGAACTACAGAAAAATGGGAACAACTAATGTGGAGTTTAAAGAAAAAGAGTGCTGAAAAAGAGGACTGTCAATTTTTTTCCCAGAAATTTCTAAGGGACAGACATTATACCTATAGGATATTAGTACTTCAGTCACTAAAAGGAGACTGTAAAGTTAACTGTGTGAATAGGATTCTGATGGTCTGGACTGAATTTCAGCTCCAAAGCTTACCATCTGTGTGACAATGGCAATATTACTTTATTCCTGTAAGCTTCAACTTCATCTTCTGTAAAATGGGGATAATACTAGCACCCACACTATTGAATACAATGAATATACAAAGCACTTAGCACAGTACCAGGAATTCATTATGTTAGTTATTACTCATAATTAAATAGGAGCTGGTTACAACCAATCATTATAAGGTAGAATCTCCTATGGGGTAGAGAAAATTCATCAACCTTCTTAAAAAACTGGCATAAGACATTTTAAATCCTCCCAATCTCTATTCCTATGACTTTGCCTTACATTCAACAGTGTGTCATTAACCTTGGTTTTAGGTTAATTTTAGGAAGGGTGAGTGGTCTTGGTGTTTAGACAGCTTGAAAGGTATACCTTTCATTATGTTTTGTAAGGTTATATATCAACTTTTTGTAAGACTGATTATTCTTAGCAGGTACCCCAGATTCTAAGTAACTATGGATGCACTGATATTATCAAATTTCTGGATCTGAAAACCCAGAATGAGTTTTGTGAATGCTTTCAAGATACTGTCTACCTGTAACGTCTCATCTCGGTTGCAGTATGACTTTTAGGCATTGCTATGGCAGCAAAATATAGCCAAATCTCTTAACTATGAAATAGTTAAGTGATTTATTTTGTGACTAAATAATAAAGCTGCCAAGAACGGAAAATTATCTTTCTTTTCATATTCTTTGCGCATTAATGAGTAAACATCTATTAAATACCCGTTTAACTGAATTTATTATGTAATGCTCATACACACACACAGAAATCACACCCTAAACTTGAACTATATTAGAAAAACATTCCTACTGTGGTTTCAAGGAAAGACGTATCTCCAATAATACAGTCTTCCATAATGTAGTCCTCTCTATTAGACTTCTATATAGAAGAACTTTTAAATACACTAAGTAGCCATTTAACAAAAAAGGAAATTTAAGGTCTACCAAAATACAATTACAGGAAACAACAGAAAGGCATTGTGACAGAAGATGGGATTCCAGTCAACCTAAATGCTCACAAAATACAAAACGAATAGACTGCCATGGGAATAAAGATGGTATTTTGTTTTTACTTCCACACAGACGTTATACATTCTGAAATAAAACTCACTGCAGGTGACAGTTGAAAAAAAAGTTCAGTGAATTCTCGCAATATGGGAAAAATATGGTTTTTTAAAAACCACAGCAAACAAAGCTTTCATTTCCAAAGGCAGTCTTGATCTACTTCAATCCCAAAGCAAACAAATTCTCCATATAATTTTAGAAAGGAAAGATTTGGTGAAAGCTAAATAAATTAATGAGTCTAAGGGAAACAAGTTTTTCTCTTATAATGAATTATCAGTTTACTTTTCCCTTGTCTTTGAGATTTCCTATCTTTAAAAATATTTTTCTGCTTTTATTTTTCCTTTACATATACTTTTGTTCTTACATTCTTTCATTTACCTGAAGATGACAGCTATATGAGAAAAGCTACAAGACTAAGGTGACTCTAGGATGTTAAGTTGTAAAGACCAAGATATTGTAGGAAACTTGTTTTTTATGTATTTATGAGTTGCTCTTAAGTCTGCATATGAAGTTATTTTGCCATGCATGATTTCAGACAAAGGAGACAGTTCTTTATTTTTCCTAGTGAAGAAAACATTTTTTTCTAATTTTTAAAACTCAGTTTATCTACTGATGCTTTGTTTTAAAATTGGAACACAATGAATTGCTTATTTTAAAATGTTAAAATATAAAGAATTATAACATTAAAATAAATTTACTAGTTTATAGTCATATTCTAAAATTTATACTAAAACATATATAAAAATTTCCCCTCTATTCCATATGAACCTAAACACAGAGCCTGAGTGTGATCTGCACTTAGGAATACCTTAAACTCTGTAACTTTCTAAGCAAAGAAAAAGAGAGAGAAAGAAAGTATAGTCAGAATTAAGGTATCTCAGTGTAGCTCCTGGTATGTTTGGTTTAAAGGAGGAGGGAAAGGGATAATATTTATTAAGGGCCAGGCACCGTGTCAAAAGGGGAACACAACAAGGAACAAGTCGGCACAGTCCCTTTCCTCAACGAGCTCAAGGCTAATTCTACCTAGAAGAATGATTATGGTCAAAGAACACAAATATTTTTAAGGATGTTTAAGCTTCTCAATATATTTTACTACTTATCTTTGAGAAAGATTTTATAGTAATTTATCACTAACAGAAGAGTACACAACTTTTAACCAACCATCCTCCTCCTCATTTTCATTAACTAGTTTTACAGGTAGGTTTCTAAGGCACTTCTTTCCTTCATAGTGAGAGAGAACTTGTAAATATGCTTATGAAAAATTTGTATCTACTGTTTGGGGAAGTACATGCGTATTTCTTCTATCTTTTTCTTTGTTGAAGTCTATTCTTTATTATTTAGCTTTTGTGTGTATTATACGTAAATATTTTCCTACATTGGTGTTTGTTGCATGTGTATATTATATATGAGCATACACACACACGCACGCACACACATGTGTACACACATGCATACACACACATATTTTTAAACAGAGAAACAGGTCTTGGGCTGATCTTTATAGAGATACTAAGTCAAGAAAGCATGATAGATTACTCTAAATTCAGTTTGTTTATTGTAGTTAGTGATTTTTTTTATAAATAACGTTTATTGAAATAGCCAGACCCATTTATTCTATGTTGTGTATGGCTCTTTCACACTCTCAGATTTGAGTAACTGCTTCTGAGACAAAAGGGCCCTTAAACCCTAAAACATCTACTATCTTGGCCCTTTACAGGAAGTTTGCTTGCCTCTGCTTTAGACTAATGCTTTGCATGTAATAGACACAAATATTTGTTGAAAAAACATTTTATCCTCTTCAAGACAAAAGTTGGCTAGATTCCAAATTAAGTTAGATCTCTCAGAAGGAAGTGATTCAAACTTCAAAGCAATTGACCCTTTTCTAAGCGACCTGAGGTTTTCTTTTAATAGTAGAGTTGAGATTTAAGAAAACTTCTTGCAGGAAAAAAAAAGGGACCTGGTGAGATTAAAAAGTATTTATTCTTGATTCAGTCCTTCACTGGTCTGCTTTTGTGCCAGGCACTGCGTTAAGGCTTAATTCTAGTTCCATTGCTCTCTCTGGGTAGCTCTGAGACCTAGTAAGTAATACAGAATCCTACACTGCTTCTGACTCTGGAAAGAGTCAAAGTTATCACCTGTTGTGATTATCTCTTTTTTTTTTCTTTTTTTTTTTTTTGAGAGGACATCTCTCATATTCATTGATCAGATAGTTAACAACAATAAAATTCTGTATAGGGGACTCAATGCACAATCATTAATCAACCCCAAGCCTAATTTTCAACAGTCTCCAATCTTCTAAAGCATAACAAACAAGCTCTTACATGGTGAACAAGTTCTTACATAGTGAATAAGTTCTTACATGGTGAACAGTGCAAGGGCAGTCATATCACAGAAACTTCCGGTTTTGATCTC